TCCCACCTCTGGAGCTCCAACCGGCAAGTCGTGGTGCTCAATGCAGCCGGCCAGCCAGGTCCGTGCGGGGACTTCCGTTGGCATGGGCTCACCCCGCGGAGCGGGAGCCGCCGGCCTGCCTACTGGTCGCGGGGTGCCTTCCAGCGCGCGCCGCTCCTGGACCACCCTCCGGGGAAATGGCAGCGCTCGCTCCCCAGCATCCCGGTGTTGGGCCGCATCCGCCAGCTCGACAGCCTCCACCAACTCGGAGGTGGTGGTTGGGTTCCTCATCCCCACTGCCTGTCGGTGGGATCGGGGAAGAGCTTGGAGGAGACGGTCAATCACCACGCGCTCCACCACCTGTCCAGCCGATGGAACCCCCTCCAGCAGCCAGTGCTGCGTGAGTCGTGTGAGTTCGGCGACCTGGGTACGGGCCGGCAGGCGGGGCTTATACTCCCACTCGTGGAAGTGCTGGGCGGCACAGATAAGTAATCTCAATCAATACCCCAGAGGGTGGATTTATTGGGGTAATGGGTGCTAGTGAGAAAGGTCCAGGTAGGTGCTCCGGTGCCGTGAGTGCTCTCTTCCGTCTTCCCAGTGCAGAGGGTCTGTGCAGTGCTCCTGTGGGACTGGTCGGTCACACGCTGCTTTCTATGGGAAAAATGAGAGGGTGAGTTAGTGCTCAGTCTCATGGAGGAATCTCCTAGATGGCAGGGCTTATATAGCTGCCGCCTGATGAGGTGCAGCTGTGACCGATCAGCCTGTGATGATGGCCAGGTGCTCCTCGCTTGTTTCCAGGGCAACGCTGATGAAGCTTCGGGACGCTCGTCACGATATATATAAAGTTATAATTCTGAAAATATAATTGTACATAAAATGTATATATTTGGAAATCCTGAACATATAATCCGGGATATATAATGTCTACATGCAAATATAATTATATTTTATTATCAGGTATGTCAAGAGAATTTTTTTTAAATGAAAATATTATGCCTATACATCCTGATTACATCTATAAATGCAAATATTGTACTATATTAATTATTGTAAGTGCATCTGGCTAATCTAAACCAAAAGGAGTATTTATTTTTTTTTTAAAAAGGATGGCTGTGGGATAGGGAAAGAGCAGCATATCATGGACAGCAACAATGAAAGCAACACTAATTAATATAGTACAATGTCTACATTGACACATGTACAGGATACATAGGCATACTGTTTTCATACAAAATCAGTAAGAATATCTGCCTATACTGACATGCTTAAGAATACGGAGGAGACGGTCAATCACCCCGCGCTCCGCCACCTGTCCAGCCGATGGAACCCCCTCCAGCAGCCAGTGCTGCGTGAGTCGTGTGAGTTCGGCGACCTGGGTACGGGCCGGCAGGCGGGGCTTATACTCCCACTCGTGGAAGTGCTGGGCGGCACAGATAAGTAATCTCAATCAATACCCCAGAGGGTGGATTTATTGGGGTAATGGGTGCTAGTGAGAAAGGTCCAGGTAGGTGCTCCGGTGCCGTGAGTGCTCTCTTCCGTCTTCCCAGTGCAGAGGGTCTGTGCAGTGCTCCTGTGGGACTGGTCGGTCACACGCTGCTTTCTATGGGAAAAATGAGAGGGTGAGTTAGTGCTCAGTCTCATGGAGGAATCTCCTAGATGGCAGGGCTTATATAGCTGCCGCCTGATGAGGTGCAGCTGTGACCGATCAGCCTGTGATGATGGCCAGGCGCTCCTCGCTTGTTTCCAGGGCAACGCTGATGAAGCTTCGGGACGCTCGTCACGATATATATAAAGTTATAATTCTGAAAATATAATTGTACATAAAATGTATATATTTGGAAATCCTGAACATATAATCCGGGATATATAATGTCTACATGCAAATATAATTATATTTTATTATCAGGTATGTCAAGAAATTTTTTTTTAAATGAAAATATTATGCCTATACATCCTGATTACATGTATAAATGCAAATATTGTACTATATTAATTATTGTAAGTGCATCTGGCTAATCTAAACCAAAAGGAGTATTTTTTTTTTTTTAAAAAGGATGGCTGTGGGATAGGGAAAGAGCAGCATATCATGGACAGCAACAATGAAAGCAACACTAATTAATATAGTACAATGTCTACATTGACACATGTACAGGATACATAGGCATACTGTTTTCATACAAAATCAGTAAGAACATCTGCCTATACTGACATGCTTAAGAATAAAGATATATATTTATGCTGAGATGTAGACTATATATTCAGATTTGCATTTATATACTCAAGATTTATAAGTATACATTCTGATTTACAATTATATGGTCAGAATTATAACTATATATTCACAATTTACATTTATATATTCAAACTTACAACTATATTTTCGGATTAAATTGTATTTATTCAGACTTTGTTTGAACTATATATTCAGATTAACTTCTATACATATATTCATGATTTTTATCTATATATTTAGACATATCTTTATATTGCAACTTTTATGTATATATTCAGAATTATAAGTATATATTCACAATTTACAATTACATATTCAAACTTAAAACTATATATTAAGATTTACTTCTGTATATTAATGATTTACATTTTTATATTACAATTTGTATTTGTTTATTCTGAATTATAACTATACATTCAGATTTACATTTATATAGTCAGATTTATAATATATATACTGATATATACTAGTATATGTATACATGTGTATATATATATATATATATATATATATATACTGATTAACATTTATATATTCAGATATATAAATACATATATTCTGATTTACTTCTATATATTCAGAATTAAAACCATATATTCTGATTTATATTTATATATTATGATTTATAAATATGTATTCAGATTTACTTCTATATATTCACAATGTACATTTATATATTAATTGTATATAATATTTCCTGTTTGGCCATTCATTAT